TCGACTTCAGGAAATCCAGACCCACCCACACACCCCTCCTCATCAACAACTCAGCTGTGGAGGTCGTAAGCAGCACCAAGTTTCTGGGAGTGCACATCACTGACAACCTCAGCTGGTCAGTCCACATCTCCTCACTGGTGAAGAAGGGCCAACAGCGCATGCACTTCCTGCGTCGGATGAAGAGAGCATCCCTCCCGCCCCCCATCCTTCAGACCTTCTACAGAGGGACCATTGAGAGCCTGCTGACCAGCTACATCTCCTTCTGGTCTGGGAGCTGCAAGGCCTCTGACTGGACGTCTCTTCAGAGGGTGGTGAGGACAGGGGAGAAGATCACGGGGGCGACGCTCCCCTGCATCCAGAACATCGCGGAAAGGCGCTGCCTTTCCCGGGCTCGCCAGATACTCTCTGACCCCACCCACCCCAACCATGGACTGTTTTCCCCCCTGGCGTCCGGCAGAAGGTTCCGAAGCATCTTCTGCAGAACGACCAGACTACTAAATAGTTTCTTCCCCCTGGCCATCAGACTACTTAACGCCACATAACCCCCCCCATACACACACACATATTTATTGATGTTTCGATGCTAAAAATTTTACTCTGGTAGCCAAGAAATTGACATTTCGTTGTTCAAATTCACCTCGTGTTTTTGACAATGACAATAAAGGAAGTCTAAGTCTAAGTCTAATACGTCACTTTGATGACACCTGCGCACTTGCGTGTTCCAATGATGATGTAACGTTTACTCGTTGCCATGGTGATTGCTTCCAGACTGAGAAACACGCGATACAATTGGAGCGTTAAAAAGTTCAGTCGCGTGATCCAAATTCGATAGGAGCAGGTGTCATGTTACGCTGATGAGGACAGGATACATCAGGCTGATACAGTCACTACAGGCTCAGTGGAGACGGTTCATACATGGCAGTTTACAGGAGTTAAAGCGGGACGTCTCAGGGGGCGTGTCCAGCCCCAACGGAGCGGCCAATCAGCTTGTTGGCTTCAGCTGTCAAAATCAAAGCACTCATTTACTCTTTGGATTGCAAAGGGTGTGTGTCTAAGTAGACATTAGTTGACGAAACGCTGTTTGTCCACATAACTAAAGCCTTTCCACCCTGACGCTCTGCTCCAGTACAAACCTGTGCCTCTCCTGAGTCTACACTCAAATTTAGAAAAGATTAAAGATTATTTAAATAAATTTGAAACAATTTGAATGTGTAACTGTGGAAATTTCACGTCAAAAAAATAAAAACCTTATCATAAGCTGTATTTAGGGAGTCCCTGGATCTGATATGAAACTATTTATGGAGTGGATGGATAAATTATTTAGCAATAACGACACAAAAGATCTGATACTTTGCGGTGACTACAATATATATATTTTAAATCCCACGAAACATGGCTTGACGGAGGAATTTATCAATACAATGTTTACTCTGGGTTTGCATCCCCTGATCACCAAACCTACCAGAATTACAACTTACAGGGCAACATTAATCGACAATATTTTTTGTAACATTATACTATAGCATCATACTTGGCCAAAAACTTCCATATTTTATTTTAAGGTTTTAGTCAATTAGTCTGTCACTTTTTGGATTATTTGATCGATGTTGCTTGCCCTATGCTGCTGCTAAATGAATTATAATGTTAGAATTGGTTCTTTAGTTGGAAGCCTGAGAATAAACCAGAGTAGATCAAGAGTACAAATATGACATTTATTGGTCACAAGCAAAGTAAATCAGCGTTGGGCTCTCACAGACAAAGCTCCCGAGGGATCTCAGTCGGCAAGAGCCTCGATTTCCAGGTGCAATGGGCAGTTATCCTCTGGGCCGGGCCTCGAAGGGGGAAGACGGTTGGGCGTAGCCGAGCATCATTGGCCAGTTAGTTTGGTCATGATCAGGCCAGAGGCTCTTTGTTCATGCAGGTTTCGTGGGAATGTGATAAGAAAATGTGTGTGTGTGTGTTGACCTTGAAGACGTGTATCTACTGTAACAGAGAGATGGGGAGGAGGAGGCACAGCCAGAGAGTTTAACCCAAAAGTAGAATTATAAATGGAATAATATGGGGCCACAGCGTAGCCTGATGGTTGGAGCGGGCGGCCCACGTGTAGAGCCTGTGCTCGTGGGCGGGTGTCCTGGGTTCGGATCTGGCCCGTGGCCCTTTCCCGCGGGTCTCCCCCTCTCTGTCTCTGCCCCCTTTCCTGTCGGGCTGCTGTCATTGGAGGCCACTAGAGCCAAAAAAAATCTTACAAATAATAAAATAAATGGAATGATATGAATCTAATCAGTCATTTACATGGATTAAGTTATAGCATGTTATGCTAACGTAAGTAATTATAGCCCAATTCTAACACTGGTTTAGACTTTTTCTTTAAAGCTTTGCCCATGAAGCAGAAAATGGAAACATCCAGGGCTCCCGGTCCACCATCACTGCTCTGTTTATGTGGATTTGGGCCTTTAGCCCCACCTGCTGACTGCTTTCCCTCCACATTAAACCAGCGGAGGGGAACAGGTGAGACTCCTCAGCAGCCTCAGACCCTGAAGGCTTCACTGTGGACACCTCTGAGTCTTTTAAGGACGTTTTTTTAGAAAAACAAGAATAAAACAGGGCTGGAAAGTGGAACAGAGCTTAAACTCTGTCTTTATTTGTGGTGTTTGAGTGCTGAACACTACATTTATGCAGACTGGCTGTGCTGGAGTTTATTGAAGTCTGTCCCCTGCTGGGAAAACAGGAGACTACAACTTTAGTCTGA